ATGGCTCTTCTATTTGTTATAAGACACAGTTTTCCAGTTACTGGAGAAATCAAGAAGATGGTCTCATCAATGGCAGATTCAACAACTCCATTGCTCACAGAAACTCCCGTTCTCCAAGATTCAGACCACCCAAGATTACAGCCTCTTCCCAAGCCTGATTTTTGGTCCATTGAGGAGATGATAGAGCCATTGATGAGTGGATTTGGGTGGTGTCAAATTCTCCAAGTCATTCTTGTTTCCATGGCTTCATTCTTTGAAGGCCAGCAAACCTTCATTACCATCTTCACTGATGCCACCCCTTCATGGCACTGCACAGATTCATTCTGCAACTCTCAATCAGACATTTGTGAGCTTCCCACAAATTCATGGAGTTGGGATAAGCCATCCCACACCTCCATTATTTCTGAATGGTCTCTTTACTGTTCTGAGAGTTCAGTCATCACTGGCTTGCCTTCTTCTTCCTTCTTCCTGGGCTGCTTTCTTGGTGGAATAGTGCTGACTCTCATTGGGGACTCGTTCGGGCGAAAAACTGTCCTTTCCTTGTCCTGTTTCACCATGTCATTGGCTTCTGTCTTCTCTGCTTTCTCTGCAAACATATGGGTTTACTCTGGTTTGAGGCTCGTGAGTGGATTAGGCCGGGCGGCTATTGGGTCGTGCGTCTTGGTTTTGTCCAGGGAGAGTGTGGGGAAGAAATGGGAATCACAAGTGGGAACTCTTGGATTCCTTTGTTCTACATTGGGATTCTTATCCCTCCCTGGAATTGCTTATCTCACCCAGGGCTATTCCTGGAGGGTTCTGTATCTTGCCACTTCTCTTCCTGCTGTCATTTACAGTCTCATTTTGGTCCAATTCTGTGTTCATGAGTCCCCGAGATGGCTCCTAGCCCGAGGCCGTGTGGATGAAGCAGAAGCTGTTCTCAACAAGTTTTCGGATAATCCTAATTCCAGGAACTTAGACTTATCTGAAGTGCTGCTAACCATGAACCCGAAAAGTACTAAAACCCCTCAATCAGCAGTTAAGATTCTGGTGCAAAAAGGATGGGTTTTCAGACAATTAGTGCTGGCAATGCTAGCTGGATTTGGGATTGGAATGATATACTATGGAATGCCACTAGGCGTTGGCAACTTGGACATCGATCTCTACTTAAGCACCGCTTTGAACGCGTGCCTCGAAATCCCCTCGAGTCTGATCATCTACTTCGTGGTGGACAAGTGGAAGAGGAGAACGATGCTGGTGGGGCTGAGCACCGTGAGCGGTGTGAGCGGGATGTTATGCATCGTGTTGAGCGAATGGAAGGCTGCAGAGTGCACGGTGGAGCTGGTTTCGCTCTTCGCAGCCTGCACGGCCTTCTCTTTGCTGCTGATATTCACTGCAGAACTGTTCCCTGTGAGCATTAGGAACTCTGCAATTTCTGCAGTGTGGCTGGCAGTGGTGCTTGGTGGGGTGGTTAGTCCTGTCCTGCTTGCCTCAACAGATGAGAAGAATAAGGTTTGGTCATATGTTGTGCTTGGGGTTTTGGCCATTGTTTTAGGGTCTGCTGTCATTTGTCTGCCTGAAACAATGGGATCAATAGAAGAAGAAGAAGGAATGGATGATCAGATAGTATAGAATGGTTCATCAAAAGATTGATTTTGCTGTATGCATAGTTTGATCTCTTAATTATACAGATACTTTCACTTTTGGCCAATGTTTGATTGTTTGGACATCAATGTTACTGTTAAATTTTACCTTCTCCTCCTAATATGATACTTAAGCTCATTAGAATTAGAGTGAGTTTCATGTGAAATCGTCTCAAAAAGTTGTATCCTTATGTTGGGCGGAGTAGGGAATCGGTTTCCCATCAAGTTCAGGAAAAATGATTATGGTTAAAAAAAAATTTGCATGGGTTTAGTTCATTGATTTGATCGGTAGACAATATTTAGGAGAAGAGACTAATGTTTGAAACTCAACAACAGTATTGTAAGAATTACATCCATCCAAATACTAGGTCGGATAGAAACACTTGTAGTGATATTTTGCCTTTTACTTTTCAACTATCAATTTAACTAAAATGGTGCATTTGGAAACTCACAAGGAAATTATTTTTCGGGTTTCCACTATTTGGCTAGAAAGGGAAAATGAAAGTCAATGGAATGGGGTGTGGTTAATGAAAAATATAGAGGATTTTCTGGGGGAAGTCATTTTCCGTTTACAACCGTGGAGCAGCTAATCACCCGTCGTCACTCCTCCCACCACCACCCACCACCACCCACCACCATCATTGTATATTTTAAATATTTACAAATAAAAATAATTATGCTCATTTTTCAGAAAATGAACCAAGATTTCTAGAATGTAACCAAACATGGGAAAGGAAAATATTTTTTTTGGAAAATGAGTCATTTTCCAAAAAATATTTTCCGAAGTCATTTTCTTGCTTCCAAACACACCCTAAGTTTAGTTACTTACTTTTCAAATCAACTAAGAGTATGTTTGGTTCGCACATGGAAATCGGAATCAAATATTTGATAATGATATGAGTTTTTGTGAAAGTATTTTGCATGTATGGTAGTAAGGTGGAATTTGAATGATTACCAATATTGAAGTTTAGTTATGTATGACCTTATAATGAGAATACTGGTTAAAAAAAAAAAAAACAAAAACAAAAACAAAAACAAAAAACAAAAAATAAAAACAAAAAATAAGGCAATTGATCCTAATATAATGACATCTAAAACAACAATATGAACAAAAATAAAAATCTAAAAGCACTAATCCAAATAAGATGGAACGATACTGGCTCAGTGTCTGTTCATATACTGAAACTCGAACTCACAATCTTCCAAATAAAAATCTAACCCGAATACCATTAGACCACTTAGTCTTGGTAGGGAATGAGATTTTTAATTGAAAGGGTAATCAAATATCATAGTTGTCTTTTAAAAAGTTGTCAACCAGACACTAATTATGATTTTAATTTTCATTCCTCGTGTGTAAACTCATGAACCAAACACACCCTAAATTTAATCTTAAATGTTTGAAATGCCCTTACGTTTTAATTAAATATTTTACCAAACTTCACTCTGCTGCACGTAGGGTTTTTGAACATAATTTGGTCGTAACAATGGGGGCATTAGGTGTGATTTAAATAAAAAAAAAAAATTGTATCACATTCTTATGTTAAAATATAATATTCCTAATATCGTGGTGCACATTTTTGCATTGTTTAAGAAAATGGTATCATCCATATCTAAACAACCTTGTTTTCAATAAAGCTTGTGTGGATATCCTAACCACTAACACAACAAGAATCATGAGACTAGTGAATATTTCAACACGGTTGCCATTAATCAAATTAAAGATATATAAAAGAAAAAAAAATTAAGCAAAACCAAAAATATGTATAATTGTATTCTTTTTTTTTTTTTTTAGTGATGATAAAAACTCACAATCACTATTCGAGAGTGTATATGGAGTAAACATCGTACTTATGTAATAGTTTGCAAACTACACATGAAAAGTAAATCGCATTGGGAAGACCATGTACAGGTAGACTCGACTAAGAAGATACTGACAAGAATGAAACTCATGATTCGCGACCTAATACAAGAATCATGCTCTACTCACTCGGCCACCCCTTTCAAGACTATATAATTGTACTATTGAGGATTCACTCAGAGTAAATTATAATTTTAGTCAATAGTTACATTATTTTAACTCTTTTTTTTTTTTTTTTGGATGACGAGGAAAACCTGTAAATTTGCAATTACTATAAATAAATTCACCTTGAGACCTTAGCTGACAAAGGACTACAATGAGGTAAACCAGACTAAGTTGCTCATTGACTCAAGAGTTAAATCAACTCAAACCAAGAAGGCTAATAGGCCTGGGAAGTAATGAGATGAAAAGCATAATAATAAATTACCATAGTAAAATCATTAAATAGCCCTAAAGAATGTTTACAAGTCCATGAAAAGACTTGGCAGTTGCAGACAGTTAGATATACACTAGAATCTTGACCTACATCCTAAGAACTCCTGCTTCCATTTTTCCCCTCCAGATTTTTCTCCTTTTCCTTCTTACAAAGTAAGAAAAGGGGGGTTTGGGGTTAAATCACCCTGAAGAATTTTGTTACAGAACAAAGCTTCTACACCTTTTCTACCACAACAACTAAAAGCTAAAGGCAATAATAGCGTAGATTTGGAGCCAACGAAGACTCCACCTTACAAGCACAATTACTTTTGTATGTCTTGCGTCGAGTTACTGCCATCTTCTGGGGGGTCTAACTGCAGATGAGCTGCTTGCAGTTGATTTTTTGGAACCTGTGGAGCATGATAAAGAAACAGGGAAGCAAAGTTTAGTGTCGGGAAAATGGATTTCCTCGTAATAATAATGAAAAAGAAAGATAATGCAGTGTGAGAGAAGATAACTTCAGTACTTGAAACTTTAGTGGCAGTCTTGTTCAATGACATTCGAGATGATGATCCCTTTGCAGTCTGCTTTTCTGGAAATCTCTGTAGTTTTGTTGGGATTCTCGGCCTGCAATCATTTATCAACCACAATGTGAATTTAGCTTCTGCGTTTCATCCAAGAAAACTTATCTCAGGTTGTAATTTGTAAATAAGGAATGCAAAAACGAGCAACAGAACCCTTTAGAGAATCAAGAATGCATTTTTGTTTAAAAAAATTATGTTATGACTAGTTAAATAATTCAGAGTAAAGTGTAAAGAACAATAATCAGACTACTGAACCATAGATATGGGTTCTCGGTTAAAACTTAAAAGTCAGACTCAGTTCACCAGGATCAAATATGATGCAGGATCTAGGAGTCGTTTAGAACCAATGAGCTTTCAACAACAGTGACGTTGGAGACAATTACTAGTTTTTCTTTACCCCTTGGAAAGGTATTTGATGGGTAATAGAAAGAATTTGCTACGGCTAACATAAAGATTAAATAAAAGCACTTACTTCTCGGTGGCGTCTGAAGGAGGTTTAGCAACTTCAGGGAAAAGTGTGTGTTCTACGATACTATTGGTGGATTCCGTTTCTGTTCCCATTGAAAGAACGCTATCAGAAATATCACTTAATCTTTCTTCAGAGTCTGCACCACCAAATCCTATGAGCTCCGTGTCTTCATTACAATTCTGACCTCCATCCGCCACAGCAGCCCTTGCATCAACTTCACCGAAATTTTGACCTCCACTTACTACAGCAAACCTTGAATCTCGAAAGAATTCACTGTGGTGCCTAAACTCATCCATTGACTGCTGAGACCCGGCTTCTGAAAGCCTATCACTGTACTCTGAGCTACGGTCTGAAGCAGCTTTCTCAGAAAGTCTTGAACTCCTCTCTCCTCCTTTGCTGCTTTGTCGTGGCCCCCCTAATGAATAACGCCGTGGAGAGGCAGACCCGTTTTTTAGTGGGCCCATACCATGTCTCTCCCCATTAGTATTTGTTTTTCGCAGCCTCAACCGTCCAATCTCTTCATCTTTCTTTGCAATTGTTTCCTTTAGAAAAGCGACCTGCATTTCAATATTTTAGCCTTTGGAAATAATAATCGTAAAGATAAAAGACGTAAAACGGTAAAAGAATAATTACTTGATGTGAATGACTACAAGGATGATAAGAAGTTACCATCACTTAAACCAGTGCCATGTGTGCATACAATGGTGACTCCTAGTTCTAAAAGGATAAACCGAGCACTCATGGTAGGAGATGTGAGTGTTTTATTTGCCAATATTACCAATCGGGTGAATGTAATATGGGAATGCATCATAGATAATGGCATTAAAGCCGGGTCTCTAACCCACCAAATGGCATTAAAGTAGAAATGGAAAAGAAAAGAAGCTATAAAGTACCTGATCCATAAGCTCTTTTACACCCCTACCCTCCTTATTACTTTTTGCAGCTCCTAGTTCAACTCCAGACACCCGCTCAGCAAACTTTAGTGTGCTTACAGTTTCAGAATAAGATTCCACATCAGGATTTAACTGCACAAACATGAGTGTCTTTGCCTGGCCACCTATAGAACGCAAACAAAGATAAAAATATTATAAACCCTAAAAAAATTAATTGTGAGCCATAAGACCTTAAGAACGCTGAAATGAGTACCTAAAGAGCTTTGAAGAACTTGAGTTAGTTTACTATTTCTGTATGGTACGTGATTACTTTTATGTGCTAAAGCAAAGATCACATCCCCTAATGCTGATAAAGATTTGTTTATATGTTGTGCTTCTCGTAATCTTTCCCCTGTAGCTTCAGAGCGGTCTATTCTTTCACTGCCAGCAAGATCTACCAAATGTAGACAACCACGTAAAACCTCATTGGTCTCCAAATCCGTCCCACGCACATGAACAGTGAGGACACTGCATATGTAAATCAAATTAAAGCCATACCCAAGAAGTAAAGTGAACTAGAATGAACGAACATCAAAAGGTACATCCGTACCTGTGGGACCGACTGCTTCTTTCATTGAGGGCAGTAGCGCCAACAGCTCTATTCATTAAACCAATACTCATCAATTCCAAAACATCTGCAGTTGATTTTACAGGGTGCATGCTAGCATCAGGTACAGCTAACCCATTCGGTTGGGTAGTATTCCAAATCCCAAGCGTGCGCAAGTTAAAGAA